CTCAACAGAAGGTAAAAATAAAGCACAATCTCCCTTTAAATTATTATGTATTACTCTGTGTATTTTTGCATTTATTTACTTGTATGCGTTTTTTATCTCCTTGATAGAACATCAGTTCCATGAGGTCAGGAAATGTTTTTTTATTTTGATTTTGTACAGTATCTTGTACATTGGAAGTACTTGATAAATGTTTTTTAAATTAGATCAAGTCATAGTAGCCCAGTTTTTTTCAGGTATATATGCATGTGTGCATATGTGTGTGTGTGTGTGTGTGTGTATACATACACATAAACTATGCAGACATATATACATATAAATATATATATGTGTGTGTATGTGTGTGTTACCCCTCCCCCTCCATCATCCCTGAAGATCTTATTCTCTCTCTATCTGACCTCCTATTAGAGAAAATGTAGGATTATAATAGTACCATTGGCAAAGATGAGAAAGGAATGTTAACTTTAGGGGTTTGTCTTTATTTATAATATTGAGGGCTAGACACATCTCTTGAAGGGAAATGTTAGTATTGTTTCTGCAACTTAGTCAATATGGCATCATGTAGTTATTTTCAACATTCTCCAGATCTTTTACATCTAGTAAGAATAACACACAGCCCTGCTGGTGTACAATTAATTTAAAGAGTACTATTAGCTAGAAAGTGATCCAAATGTTTCTGAGATTGTATCAATGAGTTACACTAAGAGAAATCTCTGGGTCCAAACTGAGCTGAGAAGGGTCTGTTGATCCTGCTGTGAAGGATTCTAACTCAGATAAAAATCAGATGAAGTTATTTGTTATTTGTAAGCTAGACTAGGGAAGAGATGATAGGAAGGGTAGCAGGTTCACAGTCTTGACATTTTGTGTCCAGCTGTGAGACCCTGGAACCCTTTGGATTCATTTTCATCAAAAAACTTGTCTTGACAAATATTCTATCTTATATTCTATTGGTATCTTAAAATGATGAAGTGGGATAATGAAGTAGACAGAATGCTAGATTTGAAATGAGAAGACATGAGGTTCAAATTCTGACTGTGATTTACTTTCTGTGTGACACTGAGCAAGTCACTTAATCTTCTTTGGCCTCATTTTCCTCATTCATATTAGAGGGTTGGACTACATGACTGCTAAGGTCACTTCCAGCTCTATATCGATGATTTTAGGACCCTCTGAGTCCAGCTACATTGATTCCATCATAAAGTAGGCGATAGTCATTCTCTATAGTTAATCACTCCACTTGTATATGAATTTTTCTGGCTTTTCTTCCTTCTACATGTTTTTGTTTCCCAATGTGGCCTAATCAGACTACGTATGGAACCATACACTTGGACTATATTGGAAGGAACTTCAGAGGTCATTGAGTCTGACCATTAGCTAAGGCGTAATAAGTTCCTTCTGTAATACCCTTCACAAGTGATCTGCCAGCCTTTGCTCCAAGACCTCTGGGGACAAAGAATTATTTTATGAGGCAATCTATTCCATTATTGGAATGGTTATTTCTTCCTTATCTTAAACCAAAATCTATCTTCTGGTAATTTATTACTAATAAGTAATAATATAGTAGTATGCTATTATATTCAGTACAATGCACTTTACATTTGTAGAACAATTTTTTAAAAAAAACCTTTTCAAAGCTCTTCCATTATCTCACTCTATCTCACATGGTAACAATTATACAGAATCATTAAAAAGGGGTCTTTTGAAAGTATTTCAGTCAGGATTGATAATAAATAATAGCAAACCAATTTGTTATGGGAATTTTATTGTATAACTCAGAGAATCACCCTCATATTTGTCATCTATAATTCTTAGCTTTAGAGTTGAGAAGGACCTTATAGATCATCTAGTCAAAATTTCTCATTTTATATGTAAGGAAACTGAGGCCCAGAGAAGTTGTGATGGACTCAGGGTCATGCAGGTAGTAAATAGCAGAGCTAGAATTTCAATTTGATTCCCCTCCAAATGTACTATAGTATTCTATGAGTTTATGTTTTCATTTCCAACTAAACTATAATATATAATACAATACAACATGATATGATATGATATCATATATCTTTGAGATTAAGGCTTTTGTCTCTTTTAAAAAAATTTCTCCCTGCTTCTCTGCATGAAGTTTGAATTTTTTTTTTTATCAATTGCCTAGTTAGAGCCTTTTCCTTATATATTTAATGAGAGATGGTTTTGAGGTGTGCTGATCTTTATTCACAAAATAGGTGTACTAGCCAAATTGTCATGTTTCTTCTAATAAATCAGTGATGAGCCTTTTAAAAATTCTTTCTCCCAACTTTCCCCTGACCTCCAAAGGGTGCCTGTCATTTAGTGCTGGGGTGGACTACTGTCTCCTGGGGATTGGGATCAATGGCTTCATCTGATGCTATTTGCCCCAGTGCCAGTGACTTGTCACTTTACCTTTTGAATTTGAACCCAGTTTGACCTTCAGGGACAAAGATTTTACTTCTTATGGTTTAAGTTGCTATCTAGTAACTTTCTTTGGCATTAAATGTAATGATTCTGGAAGAGTCCTTGGGCCAGCCCTCCTCACCGCAATGAGCGGGTCTATAGTTTTCATGTCTTGTGATGATAAGTGTGAGGTATACAGAAACTGTGTTGTATCTGTCATTTTTCGGGTAGCCCCATATCAACTTGATGATTTTGGTTGTGAGTTGAAGTCATTCAAATTCCATTCCCACTATCTCTGGTCTTTCTATTCCTTTTTTCTCTTTCTCCCCCAAAACCTGTCCTCCAGATGGTTAAGTACTTCAGAGATACCATAGCAAATCGTGATCAGGAATTTGGTGGCTCATTAGTACCTAGGAAGAGGAGAGCAAAGCCTGGCCTTCCCCAGACCCTGATTTGCATTTGAGGACATTTCTGGCAAACTCTGAATACAATACAGAATGACCGATTTGGCACTGGATAACAATGGGCCTCCTTCATGTTCTAGAACATATGTGTATATTTATCTATCTAGGAGGCAGGGTAATTCTAGCCTGAGAATTGCATTGGAGAAGAATAACCCTATCGTAGGCAAAATTTGGCTGATCTTTTAATTCTAACGGTCCTGGTTGAGACAAGAAATACTGGTGTTCATTTTGGGGATGGGGAATATAGCACTTATGTACACTCGGGGAGTGCATTTTCTTTGAGTCTTTTCCCTTTCAAGTCACGTTTTACCTCTGGAGTTACTCAGCGAATTAATAGGTATAGAAATGCAAAGCTCTTTTCTTATTACATTCTATCGATCTGATTGCAGTGCCATTAATTGAAAGACTGGGGAAATGTGATGGATAGCTTAGCTCAGGATTCTACGTTCATTTGGGCCCAGCCCTGTAGGAGGAAAGCTGCTTGAAACTGATTGAAGGAAGCCTTTTGGTCTGACATGAATTATTCTTTCATTGTCAAACCTTAGAACAGCATTCAGACCTAGTGGGATTTATAACGTGGAACCATAAACTATGTCTATTCTTTAAAGTAAAATCAAATCTCAAAATGCTTATCTGTGAGGTTGAGAATAACATCCTGTTTCTTCTCTCTTTCTCTCTCAATCTCTTTCTCCCCTTTCTCCTTTTTTCTCTCCCTCCTCCTTCCTCCACATTTAATATATATATATATATGTATATATGTATATATATATACACACACATATATATACATATATACATACATATATATACATACATATATATACATACATATATATACATACATATATATACATACATATTAAAATGGTTCTTCTTAATTAAATCTCTTCTCACAAATCAGGAGATGGGCATATCTCTCTTCTGTTTAAATAATTTCATTTGCCACATTGTGGTCATGAATTTTTTTTTTCAGTCTTCAGCATCTCAATCATGTCTCATTTCATTGGTTTTGTGATTTTGTAGTGGTTAGAGTATGATCGAGGGTTGTTGGTCATTTTCTTTCTGAGTTGATTGCTTTGTAAATCCATACATTTTTTTCTTGTCATTTTAAGTTATCCAGAGACTTGCATAGGTATGGATATAAAACATTCATATCTGTCTGTATAAACACACTTAAAAAAAAGAATTTGTTCAAATGTTTTAATCTGGTGTGCACACATGTCTCTATGTGAATGGATGAGGTGCAGACAATAATAGGCAAGTAGCATTTTAAATTATGTCTACTTTAAAAGGATGAGCTCATCACCCTCCTTTCTTCTGATTTTCAAACTGGTGATTAATGTATTATTTTTCTGTCGGGTTTATCATTTGCAATATTTCTGGATAATAGTTCATGAGAGGAATCCCTCAATCCTCACCCTTTCCAAGTCTAACATTGTTCATGTGCCCCTTTTTGCCCTTTTTATAAACACTGCCGGCTTTTAAGGTGTAAGAAATGCAGTTATTTCATTCGTCAAACACCCTTTGTCCTTAGCCTTCTCGTGTATCTAGCTTACTTTCTGAGGAGATGCTTTCTGCTCCAACAATCATATTGTGGGCTGATGAAAAATGTCGTAAGTTGAGAAGATAGGAAGTGAGCAAATTACCAAACTGCATGACCTTGTTCCAGGTTCAGATCTGGAAACCGTATTTAAGGCTTTTTGAAAAAGGAGATAATAGGTTATCATTTCAGGGCCCTTTCTAAGCACAAGGGACCCTGCGCTTAGATAGAGCTGTAGACTTTGTTCTTCAATAACCAACTATTATGAGGGACCAAACAAACTCATTTTTGTGTGTGGGGGAAAAGACTACAGATATTAGGAAACAAATATTGTTGATAATTACCTAGGCAGCCTTACCAGTGCTTGAGTGTCTGTCTAAAAATACTACACACAGAGACACCAGAATGTGCATTATCATGGTGTGTATAGAGAGTATGCATTCCTCATACCATAGATCTAAATTCTAGAGCAAAGAGTTATATTGGTTAGGATGATTTTCCCAGCTTCTGACCTGCCGTTGTTTCTGCTTCTCAGTTGCTTTTGAGGGGGACCCTCCGTCAATGGTTTTCATTGCTCTGTCCGTTCTGGTGGGATCTGTTACTCGATGATAGTGTCTGTTATTTCTGGTTCTCCTCTGTCTGAGGCATGACTTTCTTTCTTTTGGACAAGGCGAAGAGCCTTGGGTTGTGCCGGGCACATTAGAATTCTGCTGTCACCGCTGGGGCTGCTGGTTCCTCTCCGACAGAGCGAAGGAGCAGAGTGGACGGTGGGTGACCTTTGTCAGGTGCTTAGCATCCATTTCCCCAAAGCTCATTATGACTTTATTTTTCCCCCTTAAAGTTTGCTTGGGATTTAATCATCCTCTCCTCTGCTTTCAGTTGATCTTAGATAAGGGCCTACTTTATTCTGACTTCTAACACCTCTCCTCATTATGAAACGCCTGCTAGACTCTCTCCAGCAGTCTGCTAGCAACTCAGTTTTAGTTTCTATTGTTGGGAATTTCTCTTTGAGGAGCTTTTCCTGTATTTCTTGGCCTTTCCCAATATCCCTTAGGTAAAACAGTAAAATGACCTTGTGGGTGATTTTGCTCATGAGGAAAGAAAAAGAAAAAAATATCTAGTTTGGAGCTGGTTGACAAAGAATGAAATATCATAATACAGAAAGATAAAGAGAGCCGGTTTTGCAGATAATGTTGCTTAGAAGCTATTAAAATATGTCTTCTTGTGGGGCTCTCTGACCAGGTTGCAGAGTGAGAGAAAGCCCATTAACCTTCAGGTTTGAACTGTTTCATCTCCTGCCTCAAAATACTTTAATTTTAACTGTGGAGGAGAAAAAGAATACTGCCATTCTTGGACATGAAAAATGCTTTGCACAGAGTAGATGCTACCTGCATGTTTGTGGAACTGAATTGAGTTGAAAATATAGGGAAGCTTAATTTTTTAAAGGAGAAAAAAATCTCCACAAATAACATTAGACACAAAATACATTGCATTCCATATGAAATGTTTATATTCAATAGTCAGTAAAGATCAACTGTTACTCATACCTGCCTCTTATTGTGGATTCAAGTTGGCAGTTTTTTTGGTGTCCTTGAGAACTGAGAGGCTTTTCAAGGGGATGGATTTATTTGTTGAGATTAGTAGAAACTAGAATAAAAGGTTCAGCGTTTTCTCAGTTGGTTAGCACAGACACATCAAATGTAAACAGGCTTCTCCAACATGTACAACTTAAAGCATGTGTGTATACACACATACACATATACACTCACACATACATACCACAAACATCCAAGTGAAAGCCAAAGAATCGAATCTAAAACAAAACCATTTGTTTCGTCAACGGGCTAGGAAAACTACTCTTCCCAATGTTGGCACGGATGTCTATTTCCTTCTATCTCTCCCAGCCTGGCTGCCCTTGGTTTTATTTCAGAAATATAGTTGAACTGGACAAAGGAATACACATGCCTTTGGTTTTTAATAGCTGTTGATTAAAATGGAGCCCAGAGCTCGGTCGGGTCTATGGTTTCCCTGGCCATTAAAGCATTTCCTTTTAGTGGCTTAATTCACTTTATTCCCAATGATGCCAAAGGGGGAAATATATCTATATCTACATGCCTATATACATTCTGAGCCTAATTATGCAGCTGGCCACATTAATAACCTGCATCAAAAGGAGGATTCAACACCTAAAAGACAGACAGACAGACAGAGCTGCAGTTATTTGTTGCTAGCAAGTTGCCTGATCCAGGTGCTGGAGTATTTGCATGTCTTTCCACCTTTGTTCCTTCAGAGGCGTGAGGGTCTCAAGCTATTGCTGACTAATTGATAGTTATAGTAACGGCTACAGGCTCCTTAGATTAGAAATGCATGCAGACGTGTGTCTTGATTCAAACATTAAGGAATGCACACTCTCACTTACACAGGCAGAAAGTCTTCAGACTAATAGAGGTGTGATGGGGATAGCAGGACATAAAACAGAAGAAGAGAGACACACACACACAGAGACACACAGAGTGAGAGAGAGAGAGAGAGAGAAAGAGAGAGAGAGAGAGAGAGAGAGAGAGAGAGAGAGAGAGAGAGAGAGAGAGAGAGAGAGATGGCATGCAGTAAATATGCCCCTGCAAATACTTCTAAAATGCGTTTGCAAATGCAGAAGCCTTCAGAACCATCCAACAGTTCAGAACACCCTTTTTATTTCTTCTCTGCGGGACGCCTCCATCCAGACTATTCGCAAAAAAACGGAAAAGGTGAGAGCCCTGCCATCTTAGTTCTGAATTCCTCTGATTTCCTCTCCCCCCACCCGCCCCCCACCCCCTGCCTTGTGTCCCTCACGCCATTGTCCATGCTTCCGATGGCAGCCGCCCTGGCTCCTGAATGCAAGTGTCGCAGCAGGTGCAGAAAGAAGGTTCAGGGGGAGCATTGTCAAAGCCACGGTTGCCTATTGTTTCTCTGTTTTCACTGCTCTGCTTTTTTTTTTTTTTGAGCTTTTCCTATCAGTGGCCCTTGCCAAAGGGGAGGAGGAGGGAGAAAATTGCAAGAGTTAGAAGAATTTTTTTTAAAAAACACACTGTTATGATAAACAGTCCAGCAATGCATTCCACGAAATTAGGAATTATAGCAAGAGTGCAAGGTCGGGGTGAGGGGCGGGGAAGGAGCCTGGACGGAGATAGATGTTTGTTGCTGTCTTGATGCCAAAGGCAGGTTTGTTAGGACGGACTTTTTGTCGGTGCTCTTTGGCTTCTGGTGAATTTTCATCTTTTAAAAAATCACGAGGAATGCTGTATTCATCAGTTCATCCCTGCATTCGTTCTACTCCCGTTGAGCAGTGAACGAGGTTGGAAATTTTAAGGAAGGCCAGAGCTTCTATTTGCGCTTTAGTCGGTTGTTGCAGGCGGCTCAGCCGGAATTGGAGATTGTGTTTCAACATGTTTAATAAGCTCACACTGGATATTAGCGTGGTCCACTTTCTGATGGTTTGGGCACAGTCAGCCCAACGGAAATGCTGTGATTCTGCTGCCTTTGAAAGAGCTGGTCTTCAGGGTGATTAGTGCTATGTGTGTGATTGCGTTCTGGGAACAGGCCGGCTGCTCTGCTAACCCCTGAAGTTTGGGAATGTTACCAAGTCATGCCCTCGAAGTCGAGGTTTCAGAAACTATTTCAGATGGGCATTTTACACTAAGCACACAAAACCAGAGAGAATCTATCAAGAAACTTTGGGTAAAAGTGGTCACAGTTGCACCCAGGTAGAAGTCAGAATTGCACATTAAATTTACTCTCAGGTATTTAAATAATAAAAAAAAGAACTAAAATTTTAAAGTGTTTTAAGTTCACCCTAGAAAAAAGATCTTTTTACTTTCTTTTTTCTCAATTATTTTACTATTGCTAATTATATGGGAGGGGAGTTTCAAATTATTAGCCACAGGATTTTTTTTCCCCTTTTCTTGAGCCTTCTAATTTCTATCAAGGGTGTAGGTAGTACTCTTTGGCAAATTCTAAAAATAGCCGACATTCAGCATTCCAGTTCTGAAATGTGTTTGCAAGTCAAGATAGGTTGTATCTCAAAGCAGGAGAAATAATTTTTTTTTTTTTTCAGAGAGAGCCCTTCTATTTTGTAACTCCTTCTGGTTCATTTGAATTTTGACTAATATGAACTCACAGTTTCTTTCCCTTCCAAATAATAAATGATGCTTGCAAATTATTTGACTATGAATGTGGGAATAGTATAACTTCAGGATTCCATGAGCAAAACACCCCGGAAAAGTCCTCGATTTCTGGACATGCAAATAAATGGCTTATTTAAATGCATGTTACAAATACACATACCTTCTTTCCCTTTTTATTGTCATTATTCTGATTTAGGGACCTACCCAAGTACAGTTAGTGGGCCTCGTTCTTTTGTGAGGAATGGGAGGGTTACCCTTAGGATGGTTTGAGATTTCTTTAGAAAGGGAACTTCTTGAATAAATGCTGAGTGAGCCGTGGCCTGAATGCAAGCTTGAATTCAATCCAGGCCACCCTGGTAGCATACTGTTTAATTTCCAGCACACATCTGCATTATCCTCACATCAATCCCAGGCCAGAAGCTGGGAGCAGGGGAAAATTTATCAGTGATAGTTACATGCCTTTCTTTACCAAGGGGACAGCCTTGAGAGACTACTTTTTGGCTCTTTAAGTGGTTACATTTGAAAAAGAGCTAACTGCTGTAGGTAACTTTTGGGGAACCTTAGATATAGGGAGCAGCACTGATTCCAACCTTCTGCTTTTGCACAGGTTGGTGGTCAAGGAAGGGTGAAGAGTCACAAGGTGATACGAGGAATTTCTACTTCAAAGCGAGAGGCCCCAGGAAAGCCGCTGGCCTCAGTCTTGTGAAGAGGCCCAGATTAAATGTTTGTTGGTCTCAAAAACTTCAAAGTGGGTGGAGAAGTTATTAGTTCTCACAGAAGTTGGAAACAGTTTGAGTAACTCATCCAGAGGGACAGACTTGCTTTAAAAAAAATACACACACACACACACACACACACACACACACACACACACGTTCTGGTAGCCAGAGTCCTTTGTAGATGCCTGGCCTCTTAGTAAGACATTTGGAAGAACTTAACAGAGAATATTTGGCTTAGGTCTTTCTGTAGATATTGTCAAGATTAAGTGATGGGAGAATCTCAGGAGATTTACAAAACCTGATTCAAACCCAGTTCTTGTCCTGAGTTTTTCAAACAAGTGTCTGAAGTTGATCCAAAGGATATACGCCTTAAACATTAGAAGACCTGTTTTAAGAGTCTCCTGAAACTGGACTCTCTTCCTTCCACCAGCTCCCAAGATCTTGCCTGTAGGTCACATAAGTGGACAAAATACCCAGTCTATTGTAAATCCTATGATTAGTATTGTAAATCTGGGGACCCAGTCCAGCCCTCAAATGTGAAATATGGAAAGAGTTTTAAAAAATCCAGTTTGCTACCTCAGCATTTTAAAAGAAACACATGGACACTGATTAAAGGTGTGTCATAAAGAAGCAGTTAAAAAGAAAGATTAGAAAAAATGGAAGAAATACTGGATGTGGAGTCAGATGACCTGGGTTTGAGTCCTGGCTCACTCACATACTAGTCACTTGATTCTGAGTAAGTTATTTCATTCCTCCAAGCCTTAGTTTCCCTTATTTGTAAAATGCAGACAATAATAACTAGGTTTTAGCCATCTAACAATGTTGTAATCTCTCTCTTTGTAAACTGCAAAGTGTTATGGAAATGTGAGTTGATTAATCCTGACT